GAGCTCGTTAGCCCATAAGGCAATCCATCTACGTCCTGAGGACCTCGCTGCCACCGTCCAAGCGTGCTTGGCCCCGGCAGATGAACCTCAGGATTAAAGGGTGGGCTCAGTTCCGCGCACACTGTGTCTCACCTAAAAAATCCAATGCGCAGGCTGGAAGGTGGAAAGACCTTCCCCGGTTCTTCGTTCGCGAAGAGACGGGCCATTTATATTATTATAGATGTGATGAAGGACTAGGGGTATTTTGTTTAGGGAGCACAATGTGTTCATGACATTTACCTCTTGGAACACATGTACTGTTTATTAATTCTGCTGTTTTCTAGTTGCGTCACATACTCATTACGAGGCAATTTGTTTAAATGAGCCTGATTGAATACCTTCTGAAATAAATGCTGCTTTTATTTGCTACCAAAGGAACGAGATAAGGTCCCTACTATAACTACTATAATCTATTTGCAAGATGTTTATGAATGACTTTGAAGTATATATTTGTAATTTAAATCCCAGCATCAGTAATACCTGTTAGAAACTCAGACACGAGCTTCTCAAGTAATTTTTATACTTCTCAGGTTTATTATGAACTACGTGCAAGTGAGGCAGGATTGACATCTTGGAACCTTTTTGTTCATATATGTAGGGGCTTGGGGACTTTCTTAGTTATACAGCACCTAACATTTGTCCATGACATCATGATTCCTGATTTCATTGCAGTATAAGTAATTATAATATAAATTATTTTATCTGTTTACAAAACTGCATTATAATATAAAATAATTATAGTGCTCAAAACCTAAGTATGGTCTTCATCCATCCTTTAGTCTAAGGAATTATATTTGATGTTGATGCCAGTTCTGCAGAGAAGGGAGTCCTAATTAATGCTGATAAATTTATGGAGTGGATGAAATACTTTAGAAGAAAGAGAGTAATTCAGTTGGTTTTCTTCTATATTTTTAGGATTGGGCTACATTAAGCCTTTTCTTACTCAGCTGACTTCCTAATAGTGTTAGTTCCACTGTTGGAAGAAATCATGGGAATACTCATGTAGATTGTCTGCAACTTCCTCATATCCATCTTGTCTAGACACCAGCAATCTCATAGTATATTCATGCCTCCAGAACATCTAGACTTCCCTTGACTGGAAAGTCTGAATGAGGCAGAAGAACAGAGGGAGTCTGTTTTCCCTTTCAAAGTTCCTTCTTTGCCAGTGGCTAGGTACAGTATTGTAATGAATACCAAATCAGTGTCATATTTCACAGCATGGTTCTCAAATTCATGTCACAGGGGAAAGGTGAGATGGTGTTATCTATTCCAATGTCACTGATTAAAAATACCATTTGAAATTATAAGAGATGAATAAAGTGATCTTGCAAAACACTGTTGTATATATGTTATCTTACTGATATTTTATTTCAGCCTAAATGTACTTAGAAAGGATTCTGGCAGTTGCTTAAGACACAACTGAAATTTCTATGAGAAAGACATGGAATTAGTCCATACTTTTTTGGCACTGTCTGCTTCACCAGGTTATAAAGCCAGCTTACCTAATTTTTTCTGTTTCAGACATCTTGGGTTTTTTACCCACTTTTCTTCAACGGCATAGATGGAGGACACTCCTGCCACACTTTCACTCAGTTACCGAGTAGTCAGGGTATTTTTTGGAAATGAGGATTGTGGTATTCAATAATTTTGAATGAACAGAGAGAATATCTAAATCTGCTATTCTTTGACAGATTTTCTCTAGACTTGCTTTTGTCAGCTGTTGTTTAAGGGGGAGGTAAGAGTGGCAGATTAGACTGTTTAACCTAAATTTTCCAGAGAAAGAAGTATTTGTGTGAATGGGGAGAGGGAGCACTTCTTGGCTCCCCTTCTTTGTATTGCTGTTACAACTAGAATATAGTACCTGTATTTTTTTTCTAAGAATCCTTTACCCTGCTTTAATGTATAGTTTGTGGTAGATTCGGCTTGAGAGGGGGAAGCAAAACCTGCCCCCACTGAAATAACCTGGACAAAATATTGCCTTAAAGATTTGTGTTAAAGGATGTGGAGACAGCCTCTGTATTCCCTGAGGATTACAGCCAAAAAGGGATGTCAGACCTGTTTCACTAGGTGAAATTGGTGAACTGTAAATAATAACTGGTCAGTGGGTATAGCCAAATACCCTATAAAACCAAGCTGCATACTAGTCACATGGTATTTGCTATCAGCCTGACCTCACCTGTCCTAGAACTGGGAGATGGGAAGTTTTGTGGTTCCTCCCCACCACTTTCTAAGGCGCTCATACCATACTGCATCTGAGGCATCTGCTAGCTTCTTCTCTTGGGTGGTTTTTCTTTGGCACATCCTACAAAATGTTGTCTATGGCATGGGCACATCTGGCAGTCCTGCTGGTGAGCCACTCTGGCTTGTGGGATGATACTTGGGAGAGCTCTGCATTAATTTGTTGTGCAAAGAACGATGTTCCATTGCAGTTTTTCCATGACTCAGAAAAACAAAGAAACCTAAAAGGTCATATGGTGGTGTGTGATTTGTTTTATGGGTTCATTCAATATTGCCATTGTGCATTTGGCCCCACCACAGTGAGTCAACTGGGTTGGATTGACTCAGACAAAGTAGAAGACTTGCACAACAGTAGGATTTCAGTCATTCAAAATTCCCTTGCTAATGCACATCAAAGAGATGAAATTAGGTATGGAGTGCACATTTTTTTAGGGGTGTTGTAATACTTGTACATTTAAAATCAGTTTGAAGTGGAAATTGGGCATCTCAATATTTTTATGGAACTTGCCTAAGTGTTTTACTACCTCAAACTTCCATTAGTTAGGCAAATAAACCTACTGTCTGGAAAGGATATAGAAAATGGCTTGAACATTTAAGCTTTTCTTGTATTAACTTGGCTGGATCTACTTGGATACAACAGATCCAAGTACACGAGCAGCAGAAGGTCAGAAGTTGTAATGCAGTGAAATTGCAGGTAAATGTCACAGGGTGCTCTGTGGCCTAAAATCTGCTTCTTGAATAACGCCGTGACAGCTTCCCCCGGCCTTGCAGGGCGACTCGTGTGCTTTGGCACCACACGCTCAAGCGCCAAGCGCCAGCACTTTTCACCTCCGAGCTCTGCCGTGCCGCCCGAGCGGGGCAGCTGCCCCGTCCTGCCGTGACTCCAGGCTTCCCCCTAGCAAGCTCTGGAGCCAGCTGCCCACGAAGGCACCCCCTTTCGGCGGAGGGGCTGGCGCGGCTCCTCGCCCCGCGCCCACAGGCGGCTGAGAGGCGCGGCCGCCTGGCAGCGCTGCCCCGAGGCCACGAGGGTGTCTGCGGGGCAAGAGCCGCCCTCAGGCGGCGGCGCTGCCCCGGGCTGCCCTTGCCCGGCGGCGCAGCTCCCGGTCCGGAGGATGCCATGCACAGGCGGGACAGCGCCGCGGGGCCCCCGCCGCGCCCGGCCCGGCCCCTCCCCGAAGAGCCCCCCACGGGCGGGGAGGGTGCCCCCCGAGGACTACACCTCCCGGCGTGCCCTGCGGGCCGCCGCGCGGGGCGTGCCGGGAGCTCGGGCACACCACCGCCTCCATGTTCCCCCCTCACGCCGCGGCACCGCCCGCTCCGCCCGGGGGGCGGGGCCAACTCCCCGCCGCCGCTCTGAGCGACGTCCTCCCTGCCCTATCAGCTCCGGCGCCGGCGCGGCGGTAGCCAATGGGTGGCGGGGGGGCGGGCCCTCGCCGCGGCCGGAGGTGGCGGTGGCGGCGGGGCGGGAGCGCGGCCGGCGGAGGGCGCGGGCCGGGAGAGAGGACGGCGAGTCCACTCCGAGCTGCGCGGGGGCTGGGGGGCTCGGCCGGCAGCCCCAGGGGGCGGCAGCGCCGGCGGCATGGAGCAGGCAGCGCCCAAGAGGTAACGACCCTCCCCTGTGGCTTCTCTCCCGCCAGGGAGCGGCGTGAGGCCTCGGTGCCGGGTCTGTGAGAGGCGGCAGGACAGGGACGGTGCTGAGCCCAGCCCGGCGACCGAAGGGTTGTGTCGCGCTGGGGAGGGTCTGCGGTGCGAGAGCGTCCCGAAGTGCTCGCCCCGGTCAATGCCCAGGTGGAGGCGAACCCTCAGAGGATGGTTGAGTTACGAGGGGAACGTTCTTAATGTGAAATGAGAGAAACTTGGTCACCGAGCAGAGCCCTCTGTGAGCTGGGGGTCTGTGCACACGGTAGTTCGGGTCTGTGGCAGGAGTCAGCCAGCACAAGTAGTTTCTCTTTCCATGCTGGAAAGTGCCCTGTGTCCTGCTGCTGGAGGGATGGATGCTTGTGGGGGTGGGCAGTGCATAGTTGCAAATGCAAATCAGAGAGTGGGAAGACGCAAAAATCAAGAGTATTCTCACAGTAGATGTATTTTCTGAAATATGTAGGTTTTCAGGTCATATTAGCTACTATGCATGGTGGTTTTGTTTTCTTTTTTTGATGATTTGCCATACGACTTCTTAATATGCAAAATAATTTTACTTTAATTGTATTGGAATTAAATGTAATCATATATTTCAATTTGAACAGTCCTTTCTTGAGTATAGTTGTAGACTACACAGGATGTAATTGTGTGGTATACAGAATATAGGTACACAGTTTACATATATACTTACTGTTTTAGAGCTCTAATTTTACTTTAGCTTCCTGATAATATAGTGAAAAATCTAGGGACTACACGATACAAATTTGTGGTAGTGGATAATAAACCAGTTTTTACGTTCTGCTTTAAAACATTTGCATTCTACTTCTAGAGCCTTTAAGATTCTTTAAAAGCAGCTTCCTGCAGGATGACAGGACTGCAGAAGAATGCAGTCTTGAACTTCTGATAGTTTCTCCCCTCATAATACATTAAGTGACAGTATCTACTACAAAAAATTTTGGCCAGGAATTGGTTTGTAGTTGCTGTGTTAGGGTGGTGTTGGCAGGCGATGGGGTGAGGAGGGACAGGCCTACACTGTAAGTTCAGCCTGACAGTCCTGTATGTCTCAAATAAAGGAAGTACGACAGGCACCAGCAAGGGTTTGGGAAAAGAAGCAGAAATGTCTGAGAGATAGTCGGTGCTGCCAGCAGCAGTACAAAACTTGGGATCTGGTGATATCAAAGGATTGAAAATCAAACTGCAAAGTTAGCATAACCTACAAGATGTTTTTGGGAAGATATGGGATTTGCTGTAACCTTATTGTCTAGCTGG